AGCCGGAGCCTCGCACCGCCTGCTTCTGCCTGCCCTCCGACCGCCGACAGCCCATCCAGCGGGGCAGGGCTGTCCAGGGCAGGTCCCGCTTTCACGCCTCGGGCGGGCAGGCAGGCAGGCGGGGGGGCGATCGGCTCTCCGGTATCGCCGGTGGACGGGATACGAAGAGAAGGGGCTGTCGCTGCCGCTGGCGGGCAGAAGGCAGGTCTCCCTCTCCCCGCCGGGCTGCTTCGTGTGCGCATCTTCGTCCCTTTTGGACAAGGTCTGCAGCTCACAAAGCGTGGCCCGCCGTTGCCTCCCTTACTTATGTCACAGGGAAAGAAGATTCCAGGCAGATAGGCTGCCGCAAAGAAGCGTCAATTTGAGGCTGGCCTTGTAAAATTACATCTAGAAGATGTATTTAAAAGCAACACTGGAAGCTAAGTCACACAGAAAATCGCTGCTGGAAATAATTACTATGTTGAAAGTGCCATTCCTCTAAAAGTGGGCTCTCTGCAGTCACATTTAGGCCTGCTGTGACTACTAGCACTCGGTGTGACACCTAGGAAAGTAATGAATGGGACAAAGGAGGCCAGGCTGAGAGACCATCCTTGCACTCCTCAAGTCTGTCAAACTGATATACTGGCTGCAGAGCAAGCAGATGCCATGACACGAATCTTCATGTCCAGTTCAACCATTAACAGGATGTTTACCAGTCATGAATTCTGGCAACAGAATTCACTGTATGTCATAGAACTGTGTTTGTTTTTTGTTGGTTTTTTTTGTTTTGTTTTGTTTTTTTAAATCTATCTTGTTTTCTAAAAAAAAAAAAGATTGTTCAGCTATTTAGGTCTGCCTGATGAATGTGGGGCTGGAAGTAAGCAGATTGGTGGTGGGGTCTGCCATAGCTCTGAGGCTTAAAAGTGCTCACAATACTGACAGCATAAGATTTCCAGTAGAGACAGTTACACTGAGGGATTTCTAGCATGTCTGCTTTCTCCTACCTCTTCCTGACCTGTACATCAAGTAGCTGTGAGAAAAAGAAACACCATTAATACAGTAGCTACACCTTGAGAGGCTGGATAAATTTCTAGCTCCATGGGAGTTGGGAATACATGCCCATAGATTTAAATGGGCTGGGATCTAGCGCACTGGAGTGAAATACAAACAAATGCACCAAACAGGTACATTGTCAGGCATCAGTCCAGACATCTTTTGACACACCAAAAGCAGACCCAACCTTATTGCTACGTTGTTAAAGAGGGGGGGGGGGTGTGTGTGTGTGTGAGAGAGAGAGAACTGTGACCATTTCAATAAGGCTTTTTCAGGTCTGAAAGAACATAAGACCATCCCTAATCAACAGCCATTGTGCGGTTAAAGAAAACAACAACCAATCTTCCTGGGAGAACTGCAGGTAATGAACAAACACATAATGTGCTTTAGTAACTTGTTCAAACTCACAGTTAAGAATGAGTGCCTTATTTCCTAATGAAATTTGCCTCAGGTCCATTTTAGCTATTGGTTGGTGCCAAAAGATTGTATGGGCAAGTAGCACTTCTTTTCAGTACTTGCTTGAGTATTCCCATAGGGGCACCACTGAAAGTCCTAGAGGTTGAAAAGAGTTAGAATTACTGTGAAATACCCTATGCCATTTATTTCAAAAGCAGAATTCACATAATTTTAGAGGTTGTTGGAAACTAAATCTTAGAATATAAGTTGTTGTAAGAATCTCCAAAACAGGTTGTGAAATGACCAGTGTGATAAACTTCCAAACATTTTTTTGCTTTATTTGGAAATTCCCAGGATCTGATTTAAACTATTATCCAGCAGTTCTAATGTCCTTCTGCTTGTTTGTACACCTATGCGTCTGGTGATGTTCTGATACTTAAATCCAGAAAAAAATGAATTATGCTCCTGCTGTTAATACCAGAAAGCTCAGAACTTTGATTCCTTTGCCACAATGTTGATGGGATCATTAGTGATGCCTCTAAATACTGCTAATAAAAGCAAAGGGACATTTTATCCCTTCCTCTGTTACAACTAAGGGATGAGGCTGGATGTACCTTCTGCAGTTGCAAACTGTTGTTATTTATTATAGCTCACCTATATTGCTGTACCAATTTGTTAATTTTTTTTTATTACCAAAAACCTCAAATTTCTCTAGTAGTAATAGAAAATCTAATGTTTTTATTTGCTCCTATTCAAAAGTGTTTACACAGTTTTTCATTTTGAATCATTCAACATTACTCGTTGATCCTGAAAACTTCCATGGGAGTTGATTACTTGATTACACAAAAATCATTAAGAACAGTATTTATGGCTCTCCAGCTTGTTTTTGCTAATACCCCATTGATAGAAATGCCACAAGGATCTGAGCACAGACAGCAGTTAACAGATTCTAGCTTCAGTCACTGAGGGTATCTGTCACTGAAAATTTAAAAGAAGAGAGCATTGTAATCTGCACAGCATGGGAATTGTTTTCACATTCTCATTTGTGTTTCTTATAAAGGACTGTACAGTTATTTTACCCATTTCTTTTTATTTCTGAAAATCACATATTTATACCCCTACAGAAGTTAACTATTGTGCATATTTCTCAACTGTTCTATTACTATAAATACTCTGTGAGAGGCTTTATTCCAGCAATTGTAAGGGATGTTGTAACTTTCAATTTTATAGCAAAAAGCTTTGGTCCCTTTCAATACCAATTACTTAAAAGTTTTGTGAAAAATAAGTCCAAATTTGAGGCAAATGGCACAGTGATTTACATCTAGGTGTCTTACAATGCAGGAGCTGGACTGCATACTGGTAATGGTATCATGGATAGTCACATATCAATGAAGGTTAAAAAAATACAGAAACGTAATTTTTGATCAGACTCTACCATACCAATATGCCTCACAAATTAAGTCTCTTTGCGTAGCACCAGTTCTCTCGGTCCTTGGCTTTTCATCATTAGTAGGTATTAAACTTAGTACTCTATTCACATTAAATAACTGTG